CAAATTTCCTAGCAAGGCTTCAGCAACATAATGGTTGCACCTCAGCACTAGCCATCACCTTTGACACAGAGGTAACATCACATCAGTGCTGTCATATTTGGGTTCTCTCCCAGCTCCCGCCCACAGGGCTTCCAAGAACATCTGTGACCCCAGGCCCTGGGCCCAAAAAGAAATGGATGTGCTGAATGTGTCCATCTAACATAATAGATGCCAAAATCGTACAACTCATTAGTTATACTTCTCATCTTCAGCTCTTTCCTTTTGCTTAGTTGGCTAAAATGTATCCCACTCTTAAATTAATTCTGCCTTTTCTCTCTTTCCAGTATTCTTTCCTTACTCTGTCATATTTCATAATTGTTGTATTCCCAAGTTTCCTTTTACAGATTACTTCCAATGACTTAGGAAAAAATCTAATTAGATAAACCTTAAGCAACATCATGTTGATTATATCCTACTTCCATACATTGCTGATCACACTCCTATTCGTCATGTGCTAAAGTGAAATTCCCTCGAGCAAAGAGTAAAACAGCAACTATAACCATTGTGACACCATTACATTTAGTTGTTTAAATGCACACTTTAGTTTATATAAAACTAATGGGACGAGAGATACCAAAAACCTCAAAGACATCAGTTTTTTTGCATTTTCTTTCAAAAAATAAGTACTGGATATATGACCCCCATATTCTGAATGAGATGCCGAGGATGAAAAGGAATGGATCCTGACATCAAGGAACTTGCAGCTGGTAGGCAGCAGCTAGCTACCCACAGGGTATAATTGAAAGTTAATCTCAACAAATAGTTTTTCTGCATTTGTTCTGAAATTCCAATCATTCCAAATATGGTTATTTTTTATAAAGGTTATATCAAAAGGTGACATAACACTAAAAATTAGAGAATCACAAAGTAAATAATGTATGTTTTAAGCCTGATTGAAAATTATTTAAAAGATAGGAAATATGCAATGTTGTTAGGGTGTGGTTCTCTTCTGAATTGATTGCCTATGATCTTTGAATGTTTTGAATTAGGTTGTTAACTTTATTTGTTTGTGATAGCTCTTCATCTATTTGGCTGATGGTCCTTGGACCTATCATAAATTTCAGATGTTTTCTGATATTGACTTGTATTTTTACATATCCATAACATGTTTTCTATTCTAAAATTTTTAATTTTAGATGGCCAAATGTATTTATATTTTCCTACAGGATTCTTCCTTATATATTCTATTAAAATTCTTACTAAAATGTTAAGTAGAAATGTTAAAATTAACACTGTATAAACAACATTATTTTATTGTTCAAAGGAAATAAACATAAAAATAAGAAGAAAACTGTATTTCTCAAATGTACACGTTTTTTTAAAGTGCCTTATTAGTACAATCAGAATAAGTTATAAATGTAACATATTTTTAATGTACAGATATATCTCAAAGAGAAAAACGCATGAATCCTCTGCAAACATTATCACTTCAGCTTGAGAGGCCAATATCCTTGAAAGCACAACTGAGGTGAATTTTAAGAAAATGACCAAGAGAGGGTTTCATTTTATCAATACTTTTGGAATAGATATCCCTCCTCTGCCAAAACTGGTAGAACTGGTATAATTTGGCGCGCGGGGGGGGGGGGGGGGAGGTCTATTGAACAGCGGGGAAGTAAAAAGAATGAAGGAAACATGAAATGTTGAGTAAATGCCACATCATTTCCTTTATTCATACATGAATGAAGGTCCTCTCTTTCAGACAGTAACAGATTGGAAAGGTAATAGGGATGTGAAGGTTATTCTCATTCCCTTTAAAAGACACTAAATGCCTGTGAGTCTATAAAATGCAACCTTCTAAATTATAGGTCTACTTTTTTAAATTGAGAATTTTAAATTAGTGTCATTTGACAGAAAAGCAAGCAAACAAACAAACAAACTTAGCAAAATGGAAAGAGAAACGCTGCCTGGACAGAGCAACGAAGGTTTCAAAAGAACTTTAAGCAGGAACAAATTGTACTTAGGAGGCTTAGCAATTATCTTCAGACGAAGGGACAGCTATGGGTGCTGGGCGTGTGACTTCACTCAGCCAGCGGGTCACCCTGGCAGTGAAGTGCCTGGCACGGGGCCGCAGCATCAGGAGGTGGACTCTGCAGCAATCTCAGCTTCCTTTTTATTCACCGTGCGATCGTTTAGCCTAAGTGGCAATGTCCTCGTTTATAAACTGGGGATAATAGCAGTGTCAGCATACGCGATAAGGAGCTAAGTGTTTGAGATGAAGCCTGTAAGGAGGGATCCACAGCGCTTGCCTCACCGCACAATGTGTTCTTTGTTTAAAAATTGCCGGGGCTTTCCTGTAACCACCTCACCACTGGTCTTCCTTCCCATCTCCAAACATTGGCTCTGGGCCCACTCAAGCAAAAGGTGAACATGTGTGCCCCTGCTGAGCAAAGGAAATTCAGATGTGGAGGGCTGACACAGATCTGCAGATTCACTGCAAATTTGCAGGCCCTGGTCATTAAAACAAAATAATATCAATAAAACTATTAGCAGTCGTTATTTACTGTGATGGTTCTGTGAGCGAAGACCGTGTTAGTTGCATCTAATAGATTAAATCCCTTCTTCCAACAGACTGTGAGGTAGGTCGGTGTGGTTACCACACTTTGTAGATCAGCTGGGACCCAGAGAAGTTAAGTAACCTGCCTAGATTCACAGGGTTAGGGAGTCCTCAGGGAATGTAGAAGCTGCCAGAAATTGTTTTCTCTGTATACTCAGGGTACTCTCCACTACGTTCTATCACTTTTACAAAGTTGTCTTCCAACTGTTGGCTTGAATAGCTCCTAAAAGAATTATTAAAACATTTCTCCTCCCTGGAACATTTATAAATTAACAACTGTATTTCTCCAAAGTTTAAATGGTTATAAATCTAGTAGTAGTTTCTAATGCAGTTTAAATATAGATATTTAAAAATAAAACTCTTTCGCCACTTTAATCCATCCCATGTAATAAGTAGTGTTTTAACGCCAATCATTATTCATTTCTAATGAAAAAAAATTTTTAATTTACTATTTGACCTCTTCCCTTTCTCTTTGCAAAGTCATATTTCCATTCAACTTTCTCCACATAATTATTATCCTATTGTAATAATATATCTTTATACTTAAATCACTCAACATACTTTGCTGTATTTGAATTTTTTATATATAATTTTCTATCACTTCAGGTTCTACGACTTAAAATTTCTTCAGATCTATTTTTTCAAATATTTTTGTTATACAATTGATCAAAACACTGTAAGTACAAAGCAAACGTTGACAGTTAAAACATTAAAAGTACAATTTATTAGCAATAGATTGTTTAATAACATGGATAGAGCTTCTTTCTAACTGGTTGATGCAATCATGAATAAATATTACTTGTTGCTAAAATGAGTCAGGATTAGCAAAAATACTAACAAAAGAGAGAGAGAGAGAGGCTTACCAAAGGTGTATTAGTCATTGTTAAATTGATCAAAATCTAATACTTTATGTAATAAAAAGCTAATATGCTAATTAGACTGAAGAGCATAATGACCATCTGTACGACCTTCCAGACCAAGCCAGGGTTGCGAGGGCCAAGCCGCTTGCATGAATTTCGTGCATGGGGCCTCTAGTAAATAAAAGAAGAGTAAACAGTGGGCAAAGGACTTTTGCCCATGATTTTTTTTTTTTAATTGTAAAGGAATAGTTTCACCTACAAGTAGGAAAAAATGTTAAAGAAAATATAGAATGTTATTTTTTTATATTTTTTAACTTATAGGTTTTAAATTAAACTTAATGTTTTCAGGCTTGTAGATTTAACACTTATTCATCAGAATTATATTTGAAAGCTTTAATTAAAATTTAACCTTGAATTTAAATTTCTCACCAATGAATACTATGTAACTGACAAACACAAAGAAAAAGATCAGTGTCTAAAAAGTGCTCTTCATCAGGGTAAAGAGCACCTTGATAAAGAGCACTTTTTAGACTGATCTTCTTTGTCTCCATGAAATTGCTTTTTTTGTTTTGTTTTGTTTTCTCTCTCTTTCTCTTTCTTTGGGACAATATTCCATGGCAATATTAGGGAACACAATGTCTTCTTTTTAAAGTGGAAGAATGGTAGGTGTGAGAGGAGAGGTGGAAAACAGAACCCACAAAAAAAACCCTAACCAGAAACTAAGTCCCTAAAACTCTCCATGTCAATGAAACCCTTGGAAAGTCTTCAGATATCTCAGGAGCATTCGTGCCCAAGTTGGAGTGTTGATGACATGATACTAAACATGTTTGAACAGGAGAGTGGAAAGAACACCTACGTTAGAATCAATCAGATGTGGGCTCAAATCCTACTGCTGCTGAGCCCAATTTGTGTGACCTTCAGCTCATTCTTAAACTCTGAGTCTCAGGTTCTAAGGTATAAAAATGAAAATCATAATTCTGAATACCAAGGAGAGCATAAATGAGTCCAATGTGTGTAAGTCCCATAATATAGTGCCTACAAAAATGCACTCAAGAGATATAAATTTACTCTTAACACGTTTCTTCACTTCCTAATAGAGATATTCGTACTTTTTCCACAGGACCTGTTGAAAATTTAAAAGGTAATTTTGGTTTTTGGGGGTTTTTTTATTCCCCACTCGGAGAGGCAGAGATTTTTATTTATCAAGAAGTCTGAGTATATAATTCAATAAATGTTTATTAAGTGTTTATTATGTGCCAGACACTATTCTTAGGTGGCTGGGTTGCAAAAATAAATAGGAAAGTGTTCATGATCTCAAGTAACTCACAATTTGGCCATATAGAATAATGTTCCTACTAACCATGAGTTAACGAGTTATTGTATTTAAGATATTTTGCTGATCTATGAGAGAACAATTTCAGTAAGAGATGAGAAGAGATCCTGGATTCTGATAACGTGAAGAATAGGAACTAAGTTAAGTAAAGATAGAGTATATGCATTATGTCATCAAGAAATTTAAATCAAAATGGAAGAGAATGATGGTTGAGAAGAAGGCAGAGTGAAAAGAATGCTAATACGTTTCTAGACCTAGAAAGAGGGACTGGTTCCTAAGGTAGAGAATCAACATTGTGGAGGCAAAAATGAAGGTGAATGATGAGTGTGAGTCCTACGGGTGCTTGGAAACAATGGCATTTAAAGCGAACTTAGTAGACAAGGATCCTATTTAATAAAAGGTATCATGAAAGTTGACCCTAATGGAGGAACGACTGGCTGCTATGACACGCACTGACCACCAGGGGACAGATGCTCAACTCGGGAGCTGCCCCCTCGTGGTCAGTGTGCTCCCACAGGGGGAGCTCCGCTCAGCCACAAGCCAGACTGATGGCCGCAAGCACAGTGGCATTGGCGGGAGCCTCTCCTGCCATAGTAGCAGCACTAAGGTTGTCTGATTACCTACTTAGCCAATAGTGGGACATCCCCTGAGGCTCCTGGGCTGCCAGAGGGAAGTCTGCCAGCTTAGGCCTAAGCCAGCAGATGGCATCCCCTGAGGGGTCCTGGACAGCTAGAGGGCAGAGGCTGGGCTGAGGGACCCTCCCCCGCAAGTACACAAATTTTCGTGCACCGGGCCTCTAGTGGAAAATAAGTAAAAAGGTACAAAGTAGAAAAAGTCAATGTTGCTTATTGGGACTAGATTCCTGATGTCAAACCACAGCTGATATCCATCTTTTAATGAAGAGGCATCCTGCTTCTGCCATCAGATCCCAGATCCATCGGAAATACCACCTCTCACAGTACACTGAGTTTGAAATTGAAACTTTAATCATTAACAGAAACAAATAATAAAAACAAGAAGTCAATTGAAATAATAAAGTCATCAAATAATTCTTTATATTGATTTTATTTAGATTTCCCCTAACCAATGCAATTTACAAATCAGGGATTTACAGATTATAACACTTGAAATCTTTCTACCTCTAGTACTTCTTTGCAGAATATATATTTCTCGCCTGCAATTCCTTCTTATGCTTTCTTGTACAGTCAAGCCAAAAATATATAACCACAAAATCTTAACCCATATTGTCATGAATTTCTAGAAGTTTGAAAGAATGAAGCTCTCTGGGTTGGGGGGCTGTGGCGGGGGCCCTAACATGAAAGAAAAACCTAGATCTTAAAAAGTACATTATGTCTATGAGTCACTTATTCTGTCCTGAATGCAGCAGATTTTAAGAAAGTTACTGATCCATTATGCATGAGAAATGGGAGGATTGAGGATGTGCATGGTGAATTTTATAGTTCCCTGTAGAAAAAAGTTTAAATTATGTGCTTGTAGACTTAAAATTTTACCAGATGTCCAGACATTCTTTTGTTATTTCTTCATGAGAAATTCTTTTTAAAATCTACCAAAGTAATCCATGTCTAGTTGTTCTCCCTAAAGGAAACACATATGCTTAAATCTAGAATTAAAAGATAAATGAGAATTTAATGTATATCTAAGGGAAACTGAGTAATTTTCAAGTTTGAAAATATTAACAACATACTGTTTAACAACAATATTCAAAATAACCACTTTTTAGATGGTGATGTCTGGATCTCAAATAAAACAGGAAGTAAGTTTATCATCAAATTCTCCCTCTTAATGTTGTACTGTACGTTAGTTGATAAGCTAAAGGTAAGTTAAGTGAGAAATTTTAGTTTTATATTTAATAATAAAATAATAGTTTAACATTAATTGTTGATTTTACTCTTTAACATGCACTGGGTCAAATATTTTATATATATCATATTATGTAATCCCTTCAACTATCCTGCTATATTATCCCTATTTTATATATGGGGAAATGGATTTTTAGAAAATAAAAGTGATTTGTATGAGGTCAAAAAGATAATAGGCAGGGCTGAATTTTGAACTTAAGTGGTCTAAATCTAATGTCCAAGCTCCAACCTAATTTATTTTTTAAATGTCCAGAAGTAAAGAATTATAGTTCATGTGTAGAACTCACAGAGTGCACACACACACACACACACACACACACAAAAGACGCAGAGGTAGCAGCAACCTCTCGATGAACCCCTAGGGACCTATTATATAGCTCATGTTGTACAAGAGAAAACACTCTCAATGTGAGCTATAAAAATGCTTTAAGTTGTATTCTGTAGCCAAATGGATTACAATCGGCCAGTTTACAAAGAGCAGCATCAGATGTGATCTAGCCCTGTCCCATTTCAGTAAATACAGAGGTCAGAAAAGAGAAGGAGATGGTTTCCACATGAGCACAGAGTTTGTGTCCTACAGCGGGATGTTAAACCCTTTCTGGGCAGTCAACGTGGTTTTTCACAAACTCTCACAAACCTTAAAGGGAAGAGTAGTTAAGTGTCAAAGGACTACTCAGAAATCTCCAAATTTACAAGAAATCTCTTGATTCACAGATTCATTGCTGGAGTAACTAATATTTGCCAAGCACAATTCTTTGCCTAGGGTTCTGATGACTTGTACATTGGACAAATAGGTGTGAATTTTATAGGTTAAAAAAAGAAGATCCCATAATAACTGTAGAGATAAAATGTAATCCCCAATCTGACTGCTATACCAATTCTAGCCCATGAAGAACTTGAGACAGGGCTAGGAGAAGGCACCCTCTGCATAGGATTAAAGAACAAGCAAATCAAGAACATCCACAACAGTGGCTAGGCAGAACAGAACTTTAACTACTTAATCCAGTGCATGTTACAGAATATCAGCAATTAATATCAAACTAGTGTTTTATTTTGAATATAAATATTAACATAGGTGGAATCTAAAAAAAAACAACATAATTACCCAACAAAAACAAATTAATAAATACAGAAAACAAATTGATAGCCACCAGATAGGAGGAGTGTTAGGAGGGTGTATTAAAAGGTATTATGAATAAAATAGCCAGTTAGAAAATTAGGGGGCTGTAAAGTAACAGCATAAAAAATATGGTTAGCCTGGCCAGTGTTGCTCAGTGGTTGAGCATTGACCTATGAATCAGGAGGTCACCATTCAATTCCCGGTCAGGGAACATGCCTAGATTGCGGGCTCAATCCCCAATGTGAGGCATGCAAAAGGCAGTCAATCAATGATTCTTCCTTGTTGATATTTCTGTCTCTCTCTTCCTCTTTGAAATCAATAAAAATAAATATTTAAAAAATGCCTTTCTGAAATTCTAATTATTTATTTTAAAAACTCATCTGGCCCTTAAAATAAATTTTCCTTTTATAAATCATAAATGAAAGAATAATATAAAGGGTTAATGTAATTATTTTGAAAAGCAAAGTCCTATAGGGCTTAGTTAAACCCAGACTTTAAAATACTGATTTTTGCTGTCACTAACATGTAACCACCATAAATAATATCTATTTTATCTATTGTTATGTCCATATTGTGATTTAAATAAAAGTGGGAGACATTTTATATCTGGCAGAACTATCAACTTGCCGAAACTGGTTTGGCTCAGTAGATAGAGCCAAAGGTCTGAGGACTGAAAGGTCCCAGGTTCGATTCTAGTCAATGGCATGTACATTGGTTGTGGGCACGTCCCCAGTCGGGAGTGTGCAGGAGACAACTGGTTGATGTTTCCCTCTCATCAATGTTTCTAGCTCTCTATCCCTCTCCCTTCCTCTCTGTAAAAAATCAATAAAATATATATTTTTAAAAAGCTATCAACTAGATTTTATAAATATACTTTCTCAATCTTGTGAATAGTCTTTATATTATAATGTATATAAAATTTGTAAGTACAGTTAAAATAGATTATGAAAAATCTCAGATTATTTTTATTAGATAATGTAAAATATCAAGAGATACTAGGATGTCTCATCTTCAAAATTTACTTCAAACTTTTTTCATTGTTTTTATTGATTTTTCATTTTATTTAAATCTCTATGTGTTGCTTAGAAACACACACACACACACACACAGCATATCCAAAGAGAATATCTGACATCATGTGATACATGTTGAGCATGATTTTTACATCTGTTATAAAAGTTAGAATATACTGCAAAGCATATGTCAAGAACTCTTATAAACCCAGAGCAACCCGATGGGAAAATAATATTCTCAGCAGTTTAATTTGTATTACATTTATTCATGTTAACTTGCTTCTGTACACTTAAGCACACCAATGCTAATAATAAAATTAATGTTGGCAAGAGAAGCCATGCTAAAAACTTCTCCTAAGACATTAATTCCCTCTTATCTTTTGGAATGTATAATCTGTAAATTTTACTGACATTGCGAATCAATCATAAGTGCTTAGAATGCCAAGTGAGTGTATGCTTTGCAGCTAAGTGTACAATAATGGAAAAGATGGAAAACACTGCTGACTCCTGGCATTGGTGGGAACACTTATCTAATTACACAGCTCATCAGCCCCTGCCAGCTAAAAGGGCAACAGCCAGGTGGAGCATCTTGATTTGCCATGTAGTTCCTTATCAGGTATGTTAAAAAATACTTTATTAAGTATTTTGATTTGTCATGTAGTTATTTATCAAAAATGTTCAAAAATATTTTATTAAATATGTTAAACATCAGCTATTAAACTACCCAGGAAATACATGTTTTTAGCCCTGTTTTTGGAGCAATAAATAGTGCTCAAGGGTAAATGTCAGCTAAGATCTTCTTTGACATTTGCAATAATTTTGACCCTTCTCTGTATGGCATGGTTTTTAATAACTCAGCTCTCAGACAATTGTATGACCAGTGGCACACTCAAAAGAGGACAGGTCTTCTTAACACAGAGAGAATACAAGTTTTCAAAGTTAAAATAAACAGTATTCTTTAAAAAAAAAAATCTCTCCTTTATCAGTATCTGCCATTTATCAAGATCCAGGAACTATAAAGCTATACTCTCAATGAATAAATTAGCCACTGATTATATTTAAGCATAGTTTTAATGAAGTTCTGGAATAAGCTACCAATTTTTCTTCATTAGAATAAGTCTTAGACAGAAGTCACTGGGAAATATCTCCTTAGTGGTTCCAATTGACAGTCTCCTGTTTTTGCTCATTTAATTACTGATTGATCCTTCTCTTGTCCCATATTAGATTGTTTCCACATGTATAAGAAACACAAGTCTTCAAAAACAACTGGATGAGAAAAAAAAATCTAGTGCTATTTTTGGCATATTTGAATAAATAAGCAATTTAAAGAAGTATCACTCATTTATTCATTTGACTAAGTCTTATTGGATACTAATTAAGAAATTTGAAGACATTTCCAAGACACTAAAAATTGCATAGAGGATTGAAAATGCAACTTTTCATGGACCTTCAACATTGATTTACAATGTTTCTACATTATAGAGATTAGGTCCTTATGCTTATTGGTCTCAAGCAGCAATAAAATATTCATCAAAATTTAAACAGTACCTGGCTGTAATCAGCTCATCCTAATGATCCAGAATGTACTTACATATACATAAAAATACAAAATATTTGAAAATTAAAACAAAAACATAACCATTTCAGAGATAACATGTGGACTCTTCAGGGAAAGAGTTGTATGGGAAAGTCTGTTAGAGTTTATATATGAACAAATAAAAACTAAAACATAATGAAATAATAACCAAAAATCAAAATAGCCTTATACCGTGTTTCCCCGAAAATAAGACATCCTCCGAAAATAAGACCTAGCGCATGGAAAGATAAGACATCCCTGAAAATAAGACCTAGCGCAACTTTGAAAGAAAAAATTAATATAAGACACTGTCTTATTTTCGGGGAAACAGGGTAGTTTAGAGGGGAATCTCCCAATGGTGCACCTACATATATAGCATAGACAGTATTTCCCTAATACAGCTCAAAAAGAGGCGGAGCAGCAAATGATGTAAAAAATATCTGACCCAAACATAAACTTAAAATAGAAACTTTAAACTGAAAAATAAATTAAAAAGAGAAATGCTGAATTGAACTAGACTGCATAGGTTGAGGGAAAAAAAAAAAAAAAAAAAAAAAAAAACCCGAATAGTGATGACTCAGTAAGTTTCTGAAAGCAGATTCTGTACTAAAACAGGGGCATGGGTAGTTTAGATTTAAGAAAGAATTCATTTAAGAAGGATGATTATGAGCTCTCACTGAATGTGGCTAGAAAATTCCCTTGCTTGGATGTCATTAACATGTGAACATATAGTATATCATAGTTTTGAAATATAAAAATATTACTTTTAAAGGTTGAAATTCTATATCATTAACATGTTAAAGAATTACAATAGCATGGCACTGGCAAACGGGTATCGAATAAATCAATCCAGTTTTAGCCATTAATTTATTTACATATTTCATACCTATAGTAATAAAAGGGTAATATGCTAATTAGACTGGATATTCTTCTGGAGGTCCTTCCATCTCCCGGACAAAGCTGGGGCTGCAAGGGAAGCCTGGGTCCTGTGTGCCTGCTGGCGGCCAGAGGGAGGGAAGCCCGGGTCCAGCATACCAGAGGGAAGCCAGGTCCTGGGTGCCAGAGGGAAGCTGGTACCAGCAGCCAGGGGAAGGAAGGCATACACTTGCACAAAAATCCATGCATCAGGCCTCTACTCTATATAATAAAAAGCTAATATGCAAATCAACTGAACAGCAGAACGACCAGTTGCTCTGACTCAATGCAGGAGCTATCCCCTGGTGGTCAGTGTGCTCCCACAGGAGTGTCGCTCAGCCAGAAACCGGGTCATTGCTTGCGAGAGCAGTGGTAGTGGTGGTGGCAAGAGCATCTCCTGACTCCACAACAGCACTAAGGATGTCCAACTGACAGCTTAGGCCCAAGCGAATCCAAGTTGCTAGTCAGACATCCCCTGAGGGCTCCCAGACTGAGAGAGGGCAAGCCCAGTTGAGGGACCCCCACCTCCAAGTGTGTGAATTTCGTGCACCAGGCCTCTAGTTGCCAAACAACAGAGTGTGAAAAGGGTAAACTATGAAAAAGTAGTGCTAGGCTATCCATATAGAGAAGTTATAAAAAACTGTATTTTTTTAAAAGAATATGCTTCTAACTTGATTTTAAAATTTTGCACCTGAGTTTTTCTAATACTAAAATATTATTTACTTTTCAAATACATAAAAAATAATGGTGCCCTAACCAGTTTGGCTCAATGAATAAAGCAACAGCCTGCGAACTAAAGGGCCCCAGGTTTGATTCCAGTCAAGGGTATATACCTTGGTTGCGGGCACATCCCCAGTAGGAAGTGTGCAGGAGGCAGCTAATAGATGTTTCTCTCTCATCGATGTTTCTAACTCTCTATCCCTCTCCCTTCCTCTATGTAAGAAAATCAACAAAATATATTTTTAAAAGAAATAAATAAATAAACTGGCCACCTTTAAAAAAAAAAAATGGGTAGCCTTAAAAAAAATAAAACGGTGAACCTTAAACCACTTCTTAAAATGTAATCAAATTCTATTTATTCACATAGCAAAAGAATCAAGAAACTGCCACCTCAATTATGACAATCCCCTCATAAACCTTCCTCTGGTGTTCCACAAATGGGTTTTTAAATAGAATACCTCACAGCCTGTGCCCTGATTCAACTCAAGATGAATATTATAATCACTAATAGAAGGCTGCCAAACCCAAGTTCCCATGGGGTAGGAGATGGTAAGAAACATAATAAACCTTTGTAAAATTATTTGTATAAAACTCACCAGGACAATGTCAAGATGGATCACTAGGCAGAGTATGGACAATATCATCATCCATCAGGCTACTTCTTAGTAAAACAAAAATAGAAGTCTTTTGGAACCAAATCAAAGATGATATTTTTAAATTAAAATGATTTAACAGAAGAACAATCAAGGCCTTAAATTATAAATGCCCATCCTTCAAACCTCCCTCAAAATAAGCTTCTCTGTTGAACTTTTTTTTCTTTTTATGATTGAGAATTAGTGTTACTTCCACTAAAAATCTATCAGGTTTTTATTACTTTGTTCCTGTGATAAAAAGCACTTCATAACAGACACGGGGGGAGCTGGATTGAAAGTTTTTAAGATTTAGCTTTGAAGGAATTAGGACTCATTTTTTCTAAGGTCCCTAGTGTCCAAATGTTTTTATAAAATGTACAAAAATTTTATAAAAACATACTGTTGTACTTGAGACGTTTTTATAATAAACCTAAGAATAACCAAGAAAGAAATGTCAATGTTATACCAAACTGTAGCTGTAAAACCAAACTGCTTACAAGACATTTTGTTTTAAACACCTAAAAGAGTTTCTCCGGGAAAAAAGAACCAAAGTTGCCATCTTCTAAATGACAAGCATTCTCCGTATTCCCTCCTGCCACAAGTCTCTTGTTTACAAGATGAAGCCATCTTTTATTTTTTCCCATTACCTTTTATCTAACCAAATATTACTTTTGACAAGATTTTTTTTTTTACCAGTGCCACACTGCATAAGAAACATTATATAAACTATTAGGGGTTTTTTTTTCCCCCCTCATAGATCCCAGAGAACCACATCATTTAAACTGATAGATACAAGCCCATTAGGGGTTTTAAGAAGTTCCATTAGCAATGAACAAAGCATACAAAAGCCCTGCCCACATGGAGCTTGTGTTCTACTTGGGAGATAAACAAATCAATAAATTATAGTTGATTAAAAGGAATGACTTCTGAAAAGAAAAATAAAGGGCAGATGATACTGAACATTGGTGATGGCAAGCAGTTTTAAACTGGGTAGGCAGGAAAGGGCTCACAGTAGGGTTGAAAGGTGAGAGAGGGCTGTGGGGACACCGAGGGAGAAGTTTCCAGGTGAAAGGAACAGCAAATACAAAGAGTTTTGAGGAACAGAGAGGAGGTCAGTGTAGCTGGAGCAAAGTGAGTAAGAAGAAATTACGAGATGAGCTTAGAAAGTAATGGGGGCCAGAACTTGTAAAACCTTGTGGGGATTTAAGAACTTTGGCTTTTCTTCCGAGTTCAGTGTGCGGGTGCTGTAAGGTTCCGAACAAAGCACAAGATCTGGTTACTTCTGGCTGCTATATTGAGTACGGTCCACAGGGTTCAAGGGTAGGAGCCAGACCCTAGACAGGCGTGATGGTGATGATGGAGGCTCAAACAGAATGTGAGCAGTAACAGCGTGAGAAGTGGCACAGCTCAGGATTCTGATAGCAGGGACAATGGGATTTAGCAGAAGATGATACAGATGTGCCAAAAGAAAAGGAATCGTGGAGCCATGGCCTGAGATAGGGCTGACTGTGTGAAGCAGGTTTGGGGTTGGGATCGGGTTCAGTTGTAGAAATACCACGTTTTGCACGTTTATCAGATACTCCAGTAGAGGTGCTGAAGGAGTCTGAGATTTAAGGGAAAGAGATCATCAGGGCATGAGGGTACATACAGAAAAATACGAAGAGTTAAGCCTTCAGGGTCTCCGATATCAAAGCCTCTGGGAAGTGAAGGAAATATTTCTAGAATTTCTATTTAGTTCTTTTTTTTTCTTTTTTAATAGGCCCTTTCTTTTCTTCCTCTGTTCTCTTCACTTTGTGATTCTCTTTTTTCTGGCCCTTAATCATTCTAAACATACATTTTTATATTAGATATTAGCTTTCAGATTGCTTTCTTATTATCAGAAATTTTTGACGCTCTGACTCTACCTTGGGAGAATCTCTCCTAAATGGTGGTATATTTGTTCTGCCACCATTCCAGGGCAGATGCAGGTGGATATCTCTGGGTGGTGGAGGACAGGGGCTTATAACTTCCTTTTTGTGCCTCTATAGCTATACCAGTGGTCGGCAAACTCATTAGTCCACAGAGCCAAATATCAACAGTACAAAAATTGAAATTTCTTTTGAGAGCCAAATTTTTTAAACATAAACTTCTTCTAATGCCACTTCTTCAAACAGACTCTCACAGGCTGTGGTATTTTGTGGAAGAGCCACACTCAAGGGGCCAAAAAGCTGTAGTTTGCCGACCACTGCTCTATACTGTTTCCTTCAGTAAAAATAAAAAGTTTGTGGTGATAAGAATGACAAAGTATATATGAGTTTTAAAATGTTTCCTGTAAAATATGCATAACATGTTAGTCTACATGACACAGAACTATCCATGTGTGTGAAACAAAAGATGTATTTTTTCTGTGTAAAGTAGAGTTGAAAATATGTGCCTGGGTCACTTCAGTGGTACAGGAACATCTATGGGACTTTTAAAGGAAGCTAAAGCAACTTTCAGTTTTACCTTTCTACTTAGTTGTGTGAATAATAAACTATGTGTTAATGTTATTTCATACCTTAATAAAAATGGGATATTTCTCAGTCATCTGAATCCTGGGCTATGGACACAAACTTTCAAAATTTGAAAAATAGCTCGGTTGACTATATTTTTAAATCTGTTTGTTGAATGCAGTCAAACTATGAACGGCCTACAAAGAACACTTCCTTTCTTCCATTTCATTTTTAAGGTATCTGAGAAAATTTATTAGATAAAGAGATGGCAATAAAGAAAGCTATTGCAGGAATGTTTCCACTTAAAAAGTTCTTCCTGGTTGACATATATTTCTATGTAAAGTTGAGGGGGGCGGTCTTTCATCTCTGTCAAATCTTTGATCCTAACAAAAAGAAACATGCCAGATGAAGGCAGTGAAAGGAATGCTTTTATGAAGTTCTCTCTTTTTGAAGATTGTTAAATATTGAAAAGTTGCCCCCTTCGTTGTATCTGTGCTTGAATCTTAATATGGCTTACTTCGCATTTACCGAAATGAAAACTCAAATAAATAGAACCTAAGTAATAATCTGAGTCGATTGAATGTAAAATGAAGTTTTAAGTTGCTACACTCAGAAATGCAGCTATAGCACAAGGGAATTCTGCAGGGGTAACGGGGAGGATGAAGCAGAAGAAAAGCTTGCGGAGGCTATATTTACACAGACAAAATAAAGCAGAAAGTGAAGAGACTCTCTGGGGACTGTGGTCTCTGTGATGGCATCTCAGCCATGCAATTCCTTCCCCAGCCCTAACTCCCATGTTTACAGTTTCTAGAGGCTTCAACAGAATCCTGTGAATTTCATCAATTATCAACTACAGTTTTCCTACCTAGAGTCAGATAGAGAGTGTGATAAAACCTGCCCTTCAGCTTCTGTCAGCAGAGGACGAGGTCTAAGAGTTTATTGCAGTACATGTGTAGAAAAGTCTAGCAAAATAAGTTTAGATGGTTGCAAAGTACTTTATTCAAAGTGCTTTAACTTCTTGCAGCACTGAAGCCAGAAGGAGGTGGTATGGCTCACAACACTCTTGCCAGAGGAGTTACCCACTCGAAGGACCAGGAGTGTTTACAGCTACTGATGGCGTGAGAGATCAGTGCGTCACATTCCTGTCTCCTCCCAGCTCCTCCACCAGAAGATGAGGACAGGAAAGTTCTATAAAAGTAAAGTCCACGAACGTTTCCAACTGGACCTGAGCTGCTGCTCATCTGCTCCCGCGTTTGCTTTTCTTTGGAATCACAACTGAAAACAAACGGGATTTTTTTAGCAATGCTGATGTCACCCTGTAATTAGTAAGAGCATGGAAGAAGCTGCGTTTCCATTTTCCCTGATAACGTTGTCCTTTCCAGGAAGGGGACATGGCTTTGGAAGGTGGGGGCGACAGAGGGTGGACAGTGCTTCGCCTGCACCTCGCTGGCTTTGAGAGTTCTTCAGTAGCAAATTGCTTTTTGTTTCCACAATAAATAAGGTCACCATGTTAGCTATTAAAATACACTTCCCATTAAGATACAAAGAAGGCAAACTCTTCTTGCCAGTTCCTGGTTGACAATCTACTATTCCTCTGTACACTCAACAGATATGCTGTAAGAAGAGTGATTGGTAGTAGGGATTGTTAAGACATTTTAAAAATATATATATTTAATTGATTTTTTACAGAGAGGAAGGGAGAGGGATAGAGAGTTAGAAACATTGATGAGAGAGAAACATCAATCAGCTGCCTCCTGAACAGCCCCTACTGGGATGTGCCTGCAACCAAGGTACATGCCTTTGACCGGAATCGAACCCAGGACGCCTCATTCCGCAGGATGACGTTCTATCCAATGAGACAAACCAGTCAGGCAAGACATTTCTTTAATAAAGAAATTTAGAAACTTACATTTCTAAAGACTTAATTTACATTTAGGGGGGAAATTAACTGCTAAAATTAACAAGGAGATGAATTAGTGAGAAGATACCATGCATTTATAGAAAACTTCTTCCTAATAGGCTTAAGATGAATTAGAAAACTGAATTATGATTCTTTGTAAAGTAAGGATGTATGCATTATATTCCATGGATTACAGAGCAGGATTATAAAACAAAGAGATATCTAATAACTTTAAAAAGTTTACTGGCAAATGTCTCACACTATGGAAACTGATACGTGAAATCTCTGGCATCCTACACAGTTTCATGTTCATTAGGTTATGTGTGATTAATTTTGATACGAACAAATCTTGGACTCAAACTATATTTATAAAAACAATTAATAGACTTGACCTTAAATGTTCCTAGAGTAAGAAAAATAGCCTTCAGTTAGCCAAATATGGCAGCGGCTAGGTGGGTGTGCTACTGATTTTACCAAGAGACTCTTCCCCGAAAGATTGCGTCACCATTCTGGAACACAGGCTGCTGCCCTCTTTAATTATGTGTTTGGATGGCAAGCAACTTTCTGGAATTAGAGAAGTTAAGAGTTCAGCATCCAGCCTCTGAATTGAACTAGATGACCTTCCCCTATAAAGGAATGGCAAAAAAAAGGCATTGACCACAGGCCCGGCTGCTGGATCCCAAGATGTGCTTGTGGGCAGCTGTGCTGGATACTCTTGAGAAGTATGTGTTCTTCTTTATAATCATCCTTTTTAAAGGTCAGAAAATAGAAGAAGAGGAGAGAAGAAATATGAGGGCTTGGAATTATTATTGTTGATTGTGATACTGACCACGTTATCTTGGGAAATTGGTTGAGCTAAGATCAGGGCCTAGTGACGAATGAAGATCAGAGAAGCAAGATGGCTCCCAGGAGAGATTCAGAAAATGCAGATTAGCCAGCCTAATCAAGCCTGTGATTTGTCGATTATGGGAATTGTAAACTACAATACACTAGTTAAGTACATTTGAATAGCATGCACCTGTGTCCCATGTTTGGGAGTCTTAGTAGATTAAATTGTAACCATATTGATTTTTGTTTTGTGCCCACATAACTGAATCCCAGGATAATGCAATAGGAAATTTCTAATCCAATTAAAAGTCATTAATATGGCAAAGAGTTATCTTTATTGTCAAGTTTGATACAGAGTTTCTATATTTTTTTCCAAAATCAGCTTCAGCCCAACTTCCCTTAGTGGTTTTGAGAATGCAAACAAAGCAAGCTGAGATGCTGTGTTGTCTCCAACTCTATTCCCACAGGTGGGTTTAAGTTAGCGCTACACGGTCCAAATTGCTAAAAAAATTGGCAGCTGTAATGTTGCAGTCCGAAGCTCATTCCAGCAATTCTAAGAGGGAGCAACTCGGCAAGGCTTTTTTTTTTTTTTTTTTTTTTTTTTTAAAGAATGTGGATTCCTTTCCTAATAATTTAGAATTTTATGTGTAGGAGGGCTCTTATACAAACCTTTTGTCTAATAGATAAGGAATCTGAGTGCCAGACAGGTTGTTTGATTTGTCCGAGGACACACAGTTAATTATGTGGAATAAGAGAGCCAAAAACTCCAGTTTCTTGGCTGATAGCCAGGTGTTTGTAATGGAAGACTTTGTAGAGTTGCTGTTTCACTTTTTGATGCGTTGTAGTCATGATATCCTTTTCCTGCTTACTATTATAAAGTTCATGTCAAGATTATCAGTGGAAAGTAGAAATATTGGGGTGGGAAAATGTACAGTTTTGGAACAAAGAAGTGAGCTATTAGATAGGTAGTCTCATAGCTGTGCACCGGAGTTTGTTTCACACCCTCTTAGGGCCTATTTTCTCCTTTAGAAAATAAGAACCACATCCTACCTACCTCAACGGGTGGTCACAAGCCCAGAATTCAATCTCCTATCTAATGAAGACAGAATATGGAAATTGACTGTCATTCATTGACAAAGATGACAGCGCCCACAGCCAATAAGGAGGGGATATACAAATTGACATGACAAAGATTGTGGTGGCCAGGCTGGGACCCTCTGGGCCTCTGGGCAGTACGCGCGCGCATGCAGGTGCACAGCAATCGGGGGGGGGGGGGGGGGAAGCAAGGGTGGAGGTAGCTACAGGAGGGCGGCAGGGCTGGACCAAAGACAGAAGATGACTCCAGCCAGAGCTAAGGCAGAAGGCGGCTCCAGCTGGAGCAAAGGTGGAAGGCTGAAGGCTATCGCCAGAGTGAAGGCCCAGGTCCCAGGTGCCAGAGGGAAACCAGTGCCAGCAGTCAGGGGAAGGCAGGCCTATCCTTGCACAAATCTTCATGCATCAAGCCACTAGTTTAGATTAAAACATTTTATAAATTATAAAGCACCTCAAGTATTAGCCATCATTACCACAGTGTAGCATTCTACTTTTTTAAGACCTCCGAGTTGGGTTCTTCACTAGTGAGAAATAATAGCACTATACTAGCACTATACGAGAATTGCTTAGTGTGAAGCCATTGGTTAGAAAAAGCAAATTTAAGCCACAGTGCTTTCCTGGCCAGGAGATTCAAAACCCAGAGTGACTAGTATGCCAAGGGTAGGACCTTGAGGCAAGCAGACCCTCTCATAAACAGAGAACATTTTTAACCTTTTGAGCCTAGAGTAAGGTGTTGAAATAATTGCTATTATCCACTTGACCATCACTTTACAAAGTAATTAAGGCAGTTATTTCTGATGACTTTTATTATCTGAGAGGAAAAAATACATGTTGGTACATCTTATAAAAAATACTGTTTGGGTCTCAAGCATTGTTACATAGGAACTTTAATGTGATGTTTTTACAGTATTTATTTTGTGTTCTTTACGACATCTATGGTGTTGTATAAATGATGAAAATGGTGTTTAAAATCATTTAGAGAGAATAATAACTTTCAGTTATTATTGTACAACTTGTCCTCGTGTAACTTTTTATATTATAGAGGTATTTTGAAAGTCTTGAATGAGATTTATAATCTATTTGTCTATACCAGATAGTTCCTTTTTGGAAGGTCTGACAGACAAAATTAAGGAAGGAAGGAAGGAAGGAAGGAAGGAAGGAAGGAAGGAAGGAAGGAAGGAAGGAAGGAAGGGAGGGAGGGAGGGAGGGAGGGAGGGAGGGAGGGAGGGAGGGAGGGAGGGAGGGAGGGAGGAAAAGAACAGAAAAAAGAAAACCTTGGAATGAAGTAGTCGATAATTACAGGGGTGGGCAAAAGTAGGTTTATAGTTGTGAGTACATAAACAATTTATTAGTTATTGTATTATTTTCTCATATCCTATTTGTCTCTTTAGTCATGTAACTTTAGTCAAGTAACTACCAAAAAAATTAAAATATTGCTTTCACTTTATATTAATTAAATTTCTGTTTAGAATAGCAATACATATCATATTTTTGGTAAAAATGCAGAGTTTTTTCCATCTTGTGAAATAAATTTTAATGCATTCTTTGAAGCAAATGAAAACTCTGTATCCGGATGATTTAATTCATTAATTAAAATCAATTAGAAAGCAAAGCACTCTCTGTATCACAATGTTATTTACCTTCAGACAAAAACAAGCTATTAAAATAACTGATTACATTTAAATTTAGACATAGTTTCTTGTCTCTGTGAATGTTAATATTAATAAAATATTATCTAGGCCAGTTTGCAGCTCTGTTGATTAATGAGTTTGCCAACCACTGACCTAGACTCTCGATTCTAATAATTACAGGCTGTTGCTCCTTGTAATTAAGCCCTATATGAAACAAGCAGTATTTGGCAGGGCGGCCTCATGCTCCCATCAGAGGGCAACACAACTTTGAATGAGAACAAGAAATCAAACATCTAGGACTGTGTAGTGCTTCATAGTTCACAACTGACATCTTGATTTTTTTTAAATTTTCAGATAGGGTTTAATCACAAGGAACAACAACAGCCTGTAATTATTGGAATCGAGAGTCTAGGTCAGTGGTCGGCAAACTCATTAGTCAACAGAACCACAGTTTGTCGACCACTGACCTAGGCTAACTAAACATTGGTGTGTTGTTTTTTTATTTATTTTAAATATATTTGCTTTTACAGACAAGCAAGCCATTGTTGATACTCCCTACCTCATGCCTCAGTATTAAAGCAAATCACAGAATTATAGTATTTGCTTTATTTACACTGCAGGGGAAGGGTAGGGCCAATTAAATGGTTATAAGTTTTTAAATTCTGGAAGGTATATTTAAATCTTCTGATAAAAAAAGAGTTCATGTATGGGGAAAAATTCTTCACACAATTATAAAATTCTTAGAAGTTTATATGTCAAATATTTCAATTCTTTTGAAAAAGAAAAAGGCCCAGTAGAAATATAAACAACCAAGATACTGGATCTTTTTGATAAAAATAAAATAAAAGTCTCTCACAAAGGCCCACTGAGGACGTTAGAAGAAATTAAGTAGTGACTTGTATGTAGGGAATGTAGCATCAGGCTGAGTGATTTTGATGAAAGGAGTGAAAAATCTATAATTTAGAGTTATTTTAATTTATCATTAAACCAATACCATTAAAACACACACACACTAATATTCCTAAAAGAAACAAAACCATTTAAAATGCTGGGTTTGATTTATGATTGCATTAATTTTACTCACAGGCTTTAAGTTTTCCAAAATTGATGACAACTATACTATAAATCTCATCGACATCAAGGATTTATATATATATTTTGGCTGACAAGTGAAAACAATGTACCTTTTCAATGGCAAATAAGAATGTGATCAATCACAAAAAAGGAGACACCATTCTTTATATTGAAAGTGCTGAAGATTAAATTTTGGTGAAGAAGATTTAGAGTAAGCTATGCCATAAACTCAGCATCTCGTCAAACCCTGACGTGAGGATCACAGGACTATTTCTAAGACAAGGAGTATCTGTAGTAATGTGTTTCAGAAGGGAAAGGAAGACTAAAGAAAAAAGGCCTTAAAAATAATAGGGGGAAAATAAAGAGAAACAGACTTAGCTACCAGAAGTCTCCATGGGGCAGTAAAAAAGGTCACTTTTTCTCTGATTGGCTCAAAAGTACCACATTTTTCAGACTTCAAACAGTTTTTATGTGATTTCTTCCTAGTTTATTTCCCAACAATGAACCATATATTTAGCTTGTTAAATATCATAGTAAAGATGTGCAGGAAATACAATTAAACCTTAAGTTTTCATGAAGCTGCCGACAAGAAAATTGCACCAGTTTGTTTTTATTGAAATGGTGAGTTAACAGGCACCAGCCAAATGCTAAAATTAAACATTCTGGAAGAGTGAATGTCATTAGCTTTAGTAGGTTGAATTTTCAGTCACTTTATCATATTATGTTCCAAATACATTTCAGTCTACTGGACATGTAAGGCCAACTTTATGTTCTTTAAGAATGTTGTTCTTTTTGGGGAGGAGGAGTATTTCTTTGTAACTGTCTTAGGTGAGGGGGGTGAGATGGTGTGGTTTTCTTTTAGATTGTTTGGTTTTTTTGTGTTTTTTTGTTTTGTTTGGTTTGGTTTGGTTGGTTTGTTTTGTCATATGGAAAAGTAAAAGAGAAAATAAATATAACATATTACCAAGGGTTTCTAGGTATTTTAAGATAAAACCCTGTTTATTTGCATGCTTTGAGTAGTTCTTCCCATGAATCCTTAAGCACTTTAAGAACAAAGCAATTGTAATGACATTCCCACTCCCCTCCCCGCCCCAGAAAACTGGCAAGTGTACTTAATGCCCTGAAAAAAAACAAGTTTTCTAAATTTGTTTTAATGTCCTTCAGTTGTGCTCAAGGAATATTTCAAAATGGCAGAATATGTATAAGCTAACATAAAGAAAAAGAAAAATGTTTGGAAAGTAACTTCTTGCTACAAAAATGGAACCTTAAAAATCCTTAACAATTTTATTAAACATATTTACTAAGTTACGGAAGCAGTTGGGGCCATTAGAAATACTAAGCTGGTGCCTGGCTAGTTTGACTCAGTGGATAGAATGTCAGCTTGTGGGCTGAAGGGTCTTGGGTTTGATCTGGGTCAAGGGTATATATATCTCTGTTGAAGGCTCAATCCCGAACCCTGGTTGGGGCATGTGCAGGAGGCAACCGAGGTATATGCAGAAGAAGGAGTTTTTCATTGGGCAACCACTCAGTTACCCCTCTCTGCCTCAAAAAACAAAACAAAACTAAAATTAAACTCCTGAGCTAATTAGCTGAATTAAGGTGACAAATTTAGCATTTGCTTTATCAGGATATCTAATGGCATTCAGTAAATAACAAGGTTAGCTACATGTAGACCCAGGTTTGAGTCTTGGTTCTACCATTTACTGAGTGGTGGCAGGGGAGGTGATCTTAGGATGGAGGAATCTTAGACACACAACTTCATGTATTCAACACATTTTTGCTGCAGAGTTATCTATTTGATAGAAATAATAATTTCCACATCATAACATTAATGTGAGGATCAAATGAATTAGTGTATATGAAGTAGTTAGCAGAGTACTTAATAGCTGTATAGCTCAATATAGGGCAGCTACTATCTATATCTATTGCTATATCTATATCTATATCTATATCTATATCTATATCTATATCTATCTATATCTATATCATCTAAATGTAAAAGCTTAGGTGACCATCTGACCATTTGACTCTCCAACTGGAAGCAGTGGCACACACTGACCACCATTGGGCAGACACTCAACTTTGCAGAGCGCCCTCTCAAACTCCAGAACTCCTTAGGGGGTTTTGGAAAGCCAGTTTCAGCTAGATCCCCACAGGTCAGATCAAGGGACCCCACCTGCCAGAGGAATCCCCCTTACTCTGCAGATGTTCTTCAAACCTTGACACCATCCCAGGTGCAGTTGGCTAGCAAGGGCCCTCAGGAGGTTAGCTCCAGGACATGTCTGGTTCGTCTTGTCCAGTCCCACCCCACAGCCACCTTCTAATTAATCTCCTTTCAATGTTCACGAATCCGTGCACTGTGCCTCTAGTTATAATAATAACTGCAGATAGGTAATAAAACCCTACCTTGGGGGATCTATTGTCCAAAAGGACACATGCCAAAAAGTGTCTTTACACTGTGGTTAAACCATTAAGGCTCATAAGATGAGGTTCTTAAATTTCCAAGATATTAAGATAATATATCTTGCTCATATTATATCCCCCAATTTAACATCCAATAAATAAAATAATATACTGTATATTATTCTAAGTGTGTATACCAAATCTACAACTGAATATATGAGTTAAGAGAACAGTGGTATAGTTCAGGGCAAGAGCTATAAATGTGGGATTTATTAGCATATAAAGCCATGATGAAATTATTCATGGATTAAATATACTTGGAGAAAAGAAAGAGCCACTGGACTGAATACTAGAGTATACCAGCATTGAGAGGCAAAAAGGAGGAAGTTAAGCTGGCTGAAGAAACTGAGATGGTATAGGTACTGAGACAGTAGGAAACACACACACACACACACACACACACACACACACACGGAAAATGCATAGAGGTGAAAAACAGCGGTCTTTTCTATCAAATGTAACTGAAAGCACAGGCACCACTGAATTTAGTGACAGTGAGTCATTATTGACATTGAGAAGGTCATTTTTAGAGGAGAGTTAGAGAGGAGAAAAGAGAGAGACAGAGAACATTGGCAACTGTCAGTAGGTTTTGCATTAAAGGGAAGGGATGACATTGTAGATGTGAGGGTCAAGAAAGTTTGTTAATTCCAGTGGGAAAACTCCAGTAGGGAGACATTGTTCATGAAGGAGAAACAGGGCCAAATTGTCTGAGCTAAGCCCTTGAGAAAGAGAACAAAACGGGCAGACAGGTTGGGAGGAAAGGCAGAAAGCATGTGCAAAGACTCAGGCAGATTTCTGATTTGCTAGTGAGAAGAAGGCATGCCCACCAGAGGGCTTCAGTTTTCTTTGAGAAGCATAAGGAGAATCAGCAGATGAATAGAAAAGAGGAAAATGGAGCAAATCATGAAATGTTGGTGTTGGAGAAGAGAAAGTGAACAACCCAGGGACATTTCATAGAATTGCCAGGCAGTATGGACTGCCCATTTGAAAAAGATTGTGAATTTAATGTGAAAGCAGTTAGTTGAGTTGTTATTTCTTTTGCAGTAATGTTTGATTACTTTGATTTACTAATAACTAGGAGTAATTGTGTAGTTGAGATTGTAGAATTATCAGAACGAAGAAATGTGACAGTGAAAGAAACAGGAAGGTTAAGAGACTTTTGTATAACCCTCTTCTTTCCCTAACACATCAGAGTAAAACAATAGCCAGGGACCTTTTGCTTCAAATCCATTGCTAAATGAAGTGTGAAAGGGACTCCTTTTCCTAGAGGCTGGGCTATTTGTGCATGACCTCCACAGCTTTCAGTGGAAGAAGGGCATGGTAGTGAGTGGCCTGTAGCCCTAAAATTTCTGCCTGGCTTCGGGCCCTGCCTTCCTTTATTTTCAGCAGTCATCCGACCAGGAGCACTGTTATCTCAGGTATTTCCTAGTGGGATATTAAGAACTTATCTCTCACCCTGCTCAAATGAAAACTTAGTTGTTACATATGTCTTAAGCCTCACACCATTCCTGTACAAGAAAGAGCTGGCCCTGCTTTCCTGGTGACAGGAATCAGTGTGACAACATTTCAGACACCACGATTTGATAGGAGCTAGAGAATCGTGACCAACAAATAACATTGTCCTCAATCTTATCATCTCAAAGGCTCACTGTGGGGGTCATTACATTTCTGATCTGTACACCAGCAAGCGATGCATTCTGTGCAGGTTGATGATCTATCTTTAGAGCTGGCTGGAATGTTTGGCTCTTCTTAGCTCACCATGTGAAATAGTTCAGTCATCTTTGACAATGTTATCATCCAACATGCAC